GAGAGAGAGAGAGGAATACAGTAATCTCAGAAGCTACCGCCTAAGAGAGAGAGAGAGAGAGAGAGAGAGAGAGAGAGAGAGAGAGAGAGAGAGAGAGAGAGAGAGAGAGAGAGAGAGAGAGAAGAGGCTACTATGCCCATACACACACAGACTTCCATCGATACTGCCCTGACTCTGAGAAGCATCTTTCTCCAAATGAAGAAGTATAAGCACAATCGCAAACAACGATCAAGACACACACCCACCTACCCAGCACATGTGGCTACACGGTACACATGTAACTGCTTTTAAACGGATAACGAGTTTGAAACATGATGGACACAATAACGGTAGGGGGTACCCCCTTTCGAATAAATAAAAAAAAAGCAAAGGCTCACACCCACCTCTTCTAAGACAGGATGACCCACAGCAGCTGTGGTAGAAACAACTCCAGCCCCACCAGGCACAGACGCTGCAGCTGATCTCGCTGCTTCTTCAAGATCGGAACATATCGTCTTCAGTAACGCCAGGTGCACTTCCCCTAATAACCGAGAATCCTGTCGCCAGCCGCAGAGCCCGGCAACACCAGCAGATAGCAAATTATTACCGACTTATTAACTAATTATTAGTGCATAAACGAGCTCACAAAAGTCAAAGCTTCGATTTTTGGGGACCTAACTGCATCCAGAGCTGCACACTGTTTCGGATGCTTTGCTACGCAGCCATCCATCAACTTTGCGTTAGGTGTGTGAGGCCATCCATCCTCTATCATGCCATCCTGTACCATGGAATCCACACAGAACATGAAAAATTCAGTGAGGCGCACTGTCATCACTGATATACAATAAAACTGGATACAAGATGCATGATATAATATTATAAAATAGTACAAGCACTGTCAAGCAGTCTCTAGGGGTGTACTCAGACTGGGACTTTCTGGAGTGCAAATACTTGTAATTGAGGTTGGAACGATTGCCGAATTCCAATTCCTTTTTTACCTTTGTCCATCTTTTTTTTTTTCTGTTTGGTCCATTTAGTGTTGTAGTGTCTACTCTAGAAATGTATTGCAAAGCAACAATATAAAGTAATGGAATGGAATGAGAAAGAGATAGCATGGCTGCCATCCGGACCCCTGGAGCAGGGTCCAGACGGTCCCCGCATTCCGGGACCCGGAATCCTAACGTTCGGAGCTTTCCGGATTAGATTCAAAAATATTGTATTTACCTATGTTACCGAAGTGGCGCGGGACCACTGGCCTTGCTGCGCCAAGAATGATTTTTTTTTCTATTTTTAATTTGGCAACTAGGCTACCAGCCGTGCCGCCCGGGTCACCCTATTTTCCCAGGCGCCCCGGCCGTGCAAGGACCAGGGATGGTCCCAGCCAAAAATAAATAAATAACAAAAACTCCAAAAAATCCGAAAAAAAAACTATGTTATGCTAGGGAGATATCCCGGGCGCCCGGGTCCCGATGTCACGCCCGAATTGGCGACCGGGTGACCGGCCGGGCATGACCCCCGGGCATGGCCCCGGGCAGCCTCAGCGCAAAAAAAAAAAAAAAAAAAAAAAAAAAATCGAATCCAAAAAAATCTGAAAAAAAATTATGTTGTGTAGAATTGCAATACAAACAACTTTTGGCTAAGGTCACATCATAATTCCTCACAGAACTAAAGATAAAAAAGAAAATAAGTTTAAATAACCATATCACACTAAGGCACCCCCCTTTAAACCCCTTTAGCCCCTTTAAATTTCATTTACACTCCCATTTCCCCCCCTTGACAGCCAACACTCAAAAAAAGAAAAGAGCCTGGATTTGGGCTCCTCTCGGAGAGCGCGGAAAAAACCCACCGCCATTTTTTTTTTTTTTTGCCATGACCGGGTCACCCGGGCGTCACGCCCGGGTGACCGGCCGGTCCAGACCGGCCAGTCATGAAAATCTTCCTAGATGTTATGCAGAAAAATAAACTGAACAACTTTTGCCCCAGGGTCACATCGAAGTTCTTTACCACATTTAAAATAAAAATCCAAATTAACAATTTTTTAATTTTTTTTACTTTTTTATTTTTTTAATATCTTTTTGGCCCGGCCGGGCAAGTGGACCCGGGCCACTCTGGTAGCCTAGTTTGGCAAAAGAATTTCTTCTCTTTTTTTTATGTTCTTTTAAAAAAAAAACTGCTGATTATATGCCAGGAAGCGGGCGTGGCATCCCTCACAAAAAGGGGAGTTGTCCCGTTAATGAGCAAGGCGACTCCGGCCAAGCCCAATAACAACACCACTGAACACAGGAAAACCCTAACAACAGTAACTAGCTCTCAGCAAAAGCATAGTTTTTCTTACTTTTTTTCAGATTTTTATAAATCATTTTTTGGCTGGGCTACCAGAGTGGCCTGGGGTCACTTGCCCGGCCGGGTCAAAAAAAAAAATATAGGGGATTCTGCAGACTGTTGAGGGTTCAGCCTCCTGATGAGTCGGTGAAACTCCAACGAAACAGTTTGCCACAGCCCCAGAGTCAGGGTCCATGGTAGCCAAGAAAATAGTGAATTCCTTCTTTTCCTATGTTATGATCCAGGCGCCTTGGACCCCATGGTCCGTCCGTGTCCCAACCGTGCGGGCCCGAGCGCACAAGATGCCAGAAAGTCACAGCACAAAAAAAAAAACAAAAAAAACGTTAAAAATTCAAAAAAAAATCGGAGTAAAACAAATACTGTGTAAAGTTGTAAACCACTTTTGGCACAGGGTCATCTCCAAATGGCTCTTTATTTTTACGTTAAAAAATAAAATCGAAAAAGAAGTCGACTTCCAAGTTTTCAAGATTCTGCAAGTACTTAACAAGGGCATTCAGTGCCATTCACACAGCGCAATCAGGAAAAGAAAAGAAAAAAAAAGTACCGGGCACTTCCGATCCCACCCGGGCCGGGTAACCCTCGCAACACAGTTTTTTTCCATTGCTTTCAATAACATTTTTATTATTTTGTCAATAATTGTCGATATGCTAAAAACCAGAGGAATTTCTGAGTTCTGAGACAGCTCTAGAAAAGAGAAGCTGTGGAGTTACCTGAGACCACCCGTTGCGGCCCAGCCTTTGAAAAAACGCAAGAGGACTAACAAGGGGCCACGGAAAGGGGTCGGATTTGCCCATCGTGAAAAGACTAGCTAGCGGTGTGCGCAGCAAATTGCACGCCGTGACGGTTCGGATTTAGGGCCGGGCAAAAAAAAATCAGCGTCGAGAGAAAGAGGCGCGGAACTACTCGTGGTTTCTTAAGGAAATGGTGAAGGTCCTTACATGGTCATGCAGAGCTTCGGCAAGCTCGTCCAGTGTGAAAGGCCAGATTCCCAAAACATCCGCAAACGTAGTGACGAAGCTCCAACACTGCATATATTCCCAAAACATAAAGAATGTGTTTTCTGTCTGTCAGCCATAGTTTTCAGGACCACAAATTGAGAGGGAGGTCCCGAGCACACATTGGTGTTGTGAGCGAGGAAGCCCTCCATATCCATACCATGTCGCTGTGAACGCTGAGGCTGTCCGTCATCATCATCATCATCAATATAATAATTCTCCATAATCATCATTATCATCATCATCATCAATATCACAATCTTCCTTCCATTATCTCCAATCTCTTCCATCCAGAAAGGCACGGACAGCATTCCGCCGCAATCTCAATACACAGAGCGCTGCGAGGGGACAACAAGTTCGACGAAACAAGCAAGCAAGTGAGAGGACGCAGTTCGAGTTGCCCTCGTAAAGAGCAGATGACCTGAACTCTTCTCCCACCACTGTCCCCCCTCCAACCACCCCCTCTCTTCTTCACCCCTTCGGTTGTTGCTGCTTATCACTCCCCCCCCCTTCGCAACCTCTTCCCTTTCTACAATCAGCCATTTATTTATTTATGAATATCAAATGCTAAAGCAGCCTTATTATATTACCCACTCCCATACATCATCAAGCCAGATGATTACACACAAATGTCAGTATGAGCTCTGTAACATCATTTACATTTGCTAACAATCGTGGAACTCTTGATTCCTTTCCTCCCTCCCCCCCCTTCTTCTTCTTGGCTCTGTTCTTTTGCGCTACATGGTACATAGCTCTCTCTCTCTCTCTCTCTCTCTCTCTCTCTCTCTCTCTCTCTCTCTCTCTCTCTCTCTCTCTCTCTTGCATGCGCTTTGTCCTCCCCCAAAAATTTTCCCTGTCCTTCCCTCATTATGTCCATAGCCTGTCTCTTATACACATCTAGATGTGTATAAGAGACAGGTCCATAGCATGTCTACACGCACATACAAGTGGTTCACACAGCTATCTCACATGGCAACAAAGCTCACACAAGAAATTTCACTGTGAGATCATCGACTAGACCACGTAGAACCGAACGGAACCCACTGAGACTATCCATCACTTGTCAAACCACCAGCCCCTTTCCCATGTATTTTGTTCTGACGTAGCAGGTCAACAGGGCCGGCCGGAAGGAAAAGGCAGGCGGCACAAGGCAAAAAGAAAATATTTCGACCCGCGGTCTTGAATACTTGAGGTCTAGTTCCCGCGCCAGTTCCTTTTCGTCTGGTAGCGCAGCAGAAATCCAGGTGAGGAAAAGAGGCTCGGAGGGACTGGTGATTTGAGCTTCTCAGACCACCATTCTCTGTGCCCAACATTGATCACTGTGTGGGTTTAGAATTTAAATCTTTTTGCAAATTTCTCCAAAGTGGTGTCGTCCAAAAAAAAACATAATGAAGCTAGCAAGGTTCCGCCGGGCCACTGATGAAACACTAGGGTAGAACATGAGTTCTTCCCAAACCTGAGGTAGTTTCTGCAAACGATCAAGAATTTAGAAAGCGGCCTAGAAGTTTTGCAGCCTGGCAAAGGCAGACGAAGATCGCGTGGAAATCACTGAAATCAGTGAATGTTGACAATTGCACATAATGTCAGAGAAAGGTTTTCATTAACAGACGCAAGTGCAACTGTCAGCCGAGGTTCGCACAAGTAGAAGGAAACCATGCTATTTCGCTTTCCATTACAGAATTTCAGCAAAGACGGGGTACTACAGAACTGCCCGCAAGATTCGTCTGCCATGACAATGAACAAGAGCAAGAGCACATAAGCAAGAGTGACAAATAGAGCTTTACTCACTATGTGGCACCAGTGCAGGTGTGTGTCCATGAGCATCAGAGCAAAAAAGAGAGGAGAGGGAGAGGGAGAAGCGGGAGGGCGGAAGCGAGGGGGGGGGGGAGAGAGAGAGAGGTTCGCCGCGTTCTGTGGCTGAATAGCAAAAGAGACGAACTCTGCTTTGCTATGCTTGAAGCAGACATGAGAGAGACACACACACACGCACACGGGCACATAAAGAGGAGGAACGCGTGTTGCGCAGGATTAGAGAACCATTTTCAACAAGCTCCATCAATAGAGGAACAAGTAATATGTAGATGTCCCGGAGTTCTTGCACAGAATTCTTTCGCATTGACAGGGATAAGCAAACACCACGTAGACGCGAACAAAGAGAAGACGAGGTCGTCCTTACCATGAAAAGATGCCCGACAAGCTCTTGAGACTCGTCCCAAGGAGGGAGGGCAAGTGGTTGCTTCATCAATACACAGTCTGGAGGAAAACGTTCTGGCAAAACGACTGTCACGAAAAGAAGGGAAAACATGCAAACACACAACCACCCAACGAAGAGAATGACCGTGAATTTGAGCGGCACCACAAAGAAGCAAAACGGACATGGTGCTGCCCTTCTACCATAGGTTTTCATTGCTTTTCACAGGATAATTTTCAGTCAGCTAAAATGAGTATCATTAAAAACCAGGCACTCTACAACCATGAGAGCCAGCTTGAGGCTCTGAAGAGTCTGAACGCATTTTGAACGAATGTGCCCATGTAAGTGGCCAAAGACACTGACAACTTGCCAGAAAGTGTGAAGCATAAGAACTACCGTCTTCACCCGAATAGAACGCCCGGTAATTATCGCCGAATCTGGGCTGAAAGTTGTGCCAAATACAGCTATAATGACCGGGCGTTCAATTCGGGTGAAGAAGGTAGTCACTTTTTAACTAAGGCTGCACGCACACAGGGACATTCTTGATGAACTCTTGCCATTGTTGCGGTAAGACACATTCAGGGAAGGGAAGGGAAGTACAAGGGTGACGTAGGGCCAAAGGCGTGAGAAAAGAAAAGTACAAGACACTGGAAACCCAAAGAGCAAACAAGCAATCACCGGGTTAGCAGAACTGCAGAGCAAATCCCATTTACATTGAAAAGTAGCATGCCGAGGAAGTAATGCACAGAGGAAATCAAATACAGGGAACACAGGTTTCAGATGTGAGATCGGGGTTACAGCAGCACAGACACTCAGTCTCCTCGGCCGCACGCATTCTGCTCTTTATTATATCGGTTGAGAATACAGCCTCACTACTGAGTGAGATACATCATCAGGTTTTGTTAAAAAAGGAACCGTTCACCAAAAACAAAAACAAAAAAATAAACTGTTCACCACGTTCACCTTATCGATAAGACGACCAAGTAAAACATGCAGCCACCGTCATCAACCCCTGCAGTGCAAGAAAGATCAGCACCTTACCAGGAAAACGTTCTGGGAGAAGGAGGGGGAGGGGGGGGCTCTCGATAAAGACCATTTCATCGGATTTACAGAATCTATCGGATGGCTATGGCATGCAGTTTTTTAAGTCTGACACTGCCAGAAAGGAATGAAACAGCAGCATACACTGGCAATGGATTTGCAAGCATGAGGCGGGCAAGAAAGGAAGGATTCCATAGGTGACAAAACCACACCCCAAGATAGAGATATCATACAACAGAGAAGCCAAGCCACTTAGTCCCACACAAGAGCAGGAGAGAGCAAGATTTCATCACAGTGTATGTATTCATATGTCTGTGTCAACAATTCACCATTATCCAGATCCGCATCGTCTCCATAAGGAAGTCCTCGCGCACGAGCAGCCTCTTGCCTCTCCAAGTAATCATCCTCCACAAGATCTGCTGCTTCACGCGCTGCCTTCTTGGCTAATGCCTTCTCCTTGGCCAACCTAACCTTTGCTTCTTCTCTCTGCAACCGCAGTTCCTCCTTTTTTTTCTCCTTTTCCACCTGTCAGACGCAGCATCCATGCGACAGACCCGGAAATCAACAAACCCAACTCAGACAAGAAAATTGTGTCGATCACGAGCTGCTGCCGGCCAACCATGTGGGACAGACCCGCAAATCAACAGAGGCCACTCGGACGAGAAAATTAGGTCGATCATAGGCTGCTGTCGGCCAACCACGTGAGGCAAGGGGATGGAATACCAACAAACAATAAAATAAATCTCTGATTGGGAAAGACAGGCAAGTCACTTTGCCTACCATATCTCCCAGGCCCAGCATCATGTGATCACCAGTCTTCGCCATCATCAGCTGCTTCCGAAGGCCGCCATTTACCTAAATCCCCCCCCCCGCCCGCCCCCCACCTCCTCTGTGCTTCACCAGCATTTTCTGTCGCTACAACATTGCACAGGAATACCAATACCCATCATATGGTTTCTCCCAATACCCGCCCTCCTTTCGATCTGCGGCTGATTCCCATCCACCTCCTGCCCATCCATGCCCCAATGTCGCTCTGAAGGTCTGCTGCATCTGTGAGTCAGAGTCCCCCGTGCTCCTTGTGAAGATTTGAGTCCCCCCTTCTTGCCCCCTATTCCACAATCTTTCTTGCTTGTGGGTTGGCTCTCCTAACAACCGATTCCAGTTTCCCCATTTGTGCTTCCCCGTTAAGGAAAATGGCTGCCTCGTTATGCCACACGGAACACTCCGCAAGGGAATGCTGTTAAGGGCAACAACCTATGTCATCACAGACCCATTCTGTCAATGCACAGCATACACACCTCCGCTGATCTGCAACAGAATGAAACAAAGAACTAAACGCGTTTCCAAAAGAATCACAAATTATTACACCAAATTACAACAAGCCTCCGCTGATCTGCAACAGAATGAATCAAAGAACTAAACGCGTTTCCAAAAGAATCACAAATTATTACACCAAATTACAAGTGGATGAAATCCCTGCGTACAGCACTAAGGAAGATAGTAAGCTATGAAGTTGTCATGGATTAAGCGCACGAGCCGGAGTGAAATGAATCATCAATGGCAAGAAGGTTACTACTAAGTAATACAAGCGAGAAATACATGAGCCGCACAACAGACGGTCATGGAAAAAAGCAGCACAAGGAGTTCGTTAAGGCAGTTGGAAGTCCATCCACAGGACGAACCAAGACCACCATGGTGACCAGCAACAAGCAGAACGGGGGGACCGACAGACATGACCGCAAGACCAGGTGGCAAACCCTACCCCAGAAATGGCACGGCGAATAGAGCGCATGGCTGAACAGACAACCAAAGACTTCCACACAAAACATTCCGCTCTGTGGAATGACAGAGGCCTGTCGAGCCCAAGCGGACTAGCTCAGTTGGTTGAGCACGTAAGTGGCACTCAGGAGGTCGTGGGTTCGATACCCAACATCGTCCTTTCGATCCCCGCGGCCTCCTGGGGATATGGCTTCGGGTTCACCAGCGGAGACTGTTGGTTTGGGCCTCCTGGCTGGTTGTGGAAGTAATTGGTTCTTTCCAGCCCTCGCCAGGTATTAGAAGCTTGGGCACTGCTCCCCGCACAAGAGCGGAGATAGGTAGGCGTAGACCCATAACCTTAGGATAGTTCAGCTCTAGCTAGGGAATTTAAGCCTTGTCCCGGCTTTCATAGGTAGGGTTCCGTAGTCAAGCTGTCTCTAGACTGGGTGGTAGCCTGTCTTAAGGATGAATTCATTTCCGGGCTGGTCTGGGGGGTGGATGGTCCCTTGCTTGCCCAGGGTAGGAAGTGTGAGATACAATCAAATGAGAAAAGATAATAGCATAGTACAAAAATACGGCTGTCCCCCGCATGAGGAGAAAACGACAAGCCTGCATTCTTAAATAAATAAATAAACCAGAGGCCTGTAGATTTCCTGTCAATTTTTGACTCAATTATGCACATCGGCTGACCTGCCCTCATCAGGTCTCAACACGCATGATTCAGGACATATTCACACTAGGAACTTTTTGAGGATGAATCTGGCCAAAATAACTGCCAGATTCGGTCTAGAAAGTGGTCACATAAGAGTGGGTTGGGTTACCCTTAGACAGACTGCTAAGAACAAGCGTGAAGAAGAACCAACAAGAACAGCACACTGTCGCAGCAAGAGCTCGGTTTTTGGCTTACCCTGACCACCTCCTTTTGTTTCTCCCTCTCCAGCCGTTCAAGCTCCCGCCGCCTCTCTCGTTCTACCCGCTCTTCCTCCTTCAATCGCTCCCTTACGATCCGTTCCTGCTCTCTCTTCTTCTCCCTCTCTAGCCTTTCTTCCTCCCTGCGCGCTTGCTCTTCCAGCTACACACAACAGGAACACATTTGATGCCAGTCATTTGTAAAGAGGCGTTACATGCAATACAACGGAGAAAGATTTCAACGCCATTGCTCGGCGAAGCCCAGTTTCCCTGTGGCTATTGTGAGTTGCTGCCAATGGGATTCCATCCCAAGCTCTGAAGTATCTGTGTTGTGATTTTGAGTCAGTACAACTTAGTAGATATATATATCATCACAAACAGAACTGTCCGGTAAACCGTAGGCAGAGAGAGAGAAGAGGACAACAAACGAGGTACACCAAATAAGAACACACCAAGAGTTCAAAATTGACAATGCTGAAGTAGTCCCATCATCATCAACGAAGAACCAGAGTTGATATCCTATTGGCGCTCGGCGCCCAGACTACATGTGGCAGATCCTATCTAGCCTATGCTACGAAGCAGAATGATGACATCAACAGCATTCCCGAAGTACGAGCATATGGCGACCAATGTCGCCCGCCGATGGGACCTCATCCGAAAACGGGATACTACGTGTGTACCCTCCCCCTTTCATTCGAAACGTAGGGCAACGGCTCGCTGAGAAGTACAACGCTACTTTTTGGATTAAATTTCCCATCGACGTGAGCCCCGCACACACCTTTTTTTTTCTTCAATCCGCGCAGCGATGGATTCCTTCTTACTACAGTATGACCAACTTCAATCCGCGCAGCGATGGATTCCTTCTTACTACAGTATGACCAACACCGGGGATTTAAGTTCTGGCTGTGTCCCCACACGCAACTTTGTGTCAAACTGTTTCGTCGGAGTTTCACCGACTCATCAGGAGGCTGAACCCTCAACAGTCTGCAGAATCCCCTCACTGATTACACTGTAAATGATAATCCACCTTAATCAAAATCAAAGTAGACTATCACTCACCCACACCAGATGGAAAACTCTACAGACTGTCGGTTCACACCCCATCACAAGCCAGCAAAACATCCACGAAACAAAGAAAGGTCTGTCACAGCCGAAAAATACACTCCAGACACACCGCTGGCACTAGAGGCACAGCATGGCCTATGTATATTGTCACATGATATCAGAGCGCCTAAGCGAAAAAACCAAAAAAACAAAAAAATCTTAAATTCGTTTTTAATCTTCTTCCTTACAACTCCCCCTGTTCAGAACCTCTTGCGTACAAGGCCACCCACGTTATAGTCACAAACAGAACTGCCCGGTAAACCGTAGGCAGAGAGAGAGAAGAGGACAACAAACGACATATATATATATATAGTCAAACAGAGCTGCCCGGTAAACCATAGGCAGAGAGGGAGAAGAGGTCAACAAACGAGGGGCTGTGGCAAACTGTTTCGTCGGAGTTTCACCGACATGAGGAGGATATATATATAACACAGGAAGACAAGTTGATAGGCTCGCAGGTTCTCGGCATATGCTATAGGCTGCAGGCAGAAGGGTTATGTGGTTGGACATCTCTTTTGCCAAATTCCATTTGCCCATCAGAGTGGCATCAGTTTTTTTCAACGCACTTTTTGTTAGTTTGAACTTTGGAAAAAAGGGCCGCGATTTTGCCAGCTCTCTAGACGAGGAGAGAAAGTGCTGCCCCTGTAGCTGCCCTATCGTTTTTGTACACAGTACTATTACACAACCACATCTTTTTCAGTGCCATCTGATGATCACGAAAGGTTAGTCACTCAAATGAGCCAATTGTGGGAAGCTTTCCCCATATCTTCTTTTGCTAGCAGTTATTTACTTTCAACTTTCAAGCACCAACCCAGTATCCAATTTAGCGGTTCCAATCAAGTGTTGCAATCAAGATTGGAATTGATCGTTCCCATCAAGTGATTCAATGATCTCAACATGTGTGTACGAGAATCGAAATGAATGAATTCGATATGATTCTTACATCATTATTATGTAACAATCAAACTTTGCCTCTTGACAAAGATGACAGGAAAACCCACCCATAACCTTCTGCACTTCCAAGAGGGGCCTATTCAAACAGTTCTCCCCCTGTTCCGCACCATGCCCATGTCATAACGATGTTTTCTCTGCGACTGGTTTCCCCACTCTCTCCCCCCCCCCCCCCCCCCCCCCCCCCGGAAGTCATCCCATTCTTTTGCCTTCCCATGTTCTGATTGCACACAAACCCAGCCAAAACCACTACACAGATCATCTCAAGCCTCAAGGAAATCAAGAAACCCATGGAACCTGATAAAACTGAATGGATTAGCTTTGACCGCAAGGAAACTTGTGATCAGAAGCTGAAAAGGGTCCATCCTTAATACCTCAGCTTTCAGCAGCCAAATGTGAAGACACTTTCACAAAATGTTTGCCAATTGCATTCACAGAGAGACATTCAGGAACACTGCATTTGACTTCCATCTTATCACGTGCTGACTATTTCCAGAGATGAACTATTGCCCTGGCACAGAAGCCCCATAACCGCGCCCTTCCCCAACATAATCGGCTGTTCCTCTTCCAAACTCCCACTGGATAAGAAATAACTCCTTGTTATTCTTCTGCTCTCCAAGTGGTAGTCAAACAAAGCTTCAAGGTATGCACACTTTTCAGGTTTTCCCTTCTTCTTCTTCTTCTTCTTCTTCTTCTTCTTCTTCTTCTTCTTTCTGAAGGGAAATAACAGAAGTACAGGTGCATGGCTCCAAAAGAGGATCATGCAAGTCACGATTTACCCCTGGGAGACCCGTTTCTTTCTTGCCTTTTTGCGCCTACTTTTCATTGCAAACTGACTGGCAGGACATTACCGGCTGACGAATTCACCCAAACCACTAAAAGCAAAACAGCACCCGTGCACACACAGATGCAAAAGAAAGAGACAGAGAGAGAGAGAGAGAGAGAGAGAGAGAGAGAGAGAGAGAGAGAGAGAGAGAGAGAGTCAAAAACCTTATAGCAAGCCATTAAATAACTGATGGGTTGGAAAACCTCCTAACGACTGCAATTGAAGCAGAAGGGAACAGAATCGAACTTTGCGAACCGAAAATAGGAGATTCAACTTCAGAGAGGACAAGATGCTCAAAACGCCCCTATGCTCACTGGTCATCAGAGCAAATTTGTGCGCCATGTATCATCATGGGAACGAAGTATCTTCCCCTACATATCCTAGCGGTAAAATATACTCTGGCATGTTGCCGACAGGGCATACCTTACGCCTCGCGATCACAGCACGATCGAGCTCCCTCTTGGCTCGCTTCTCCCTAGCTTCCTCTTCCTTAAGCAGGCGTTGCTCCTCCAGCTACATCAGGAAATCATCACCCATGGGCAAGGGCAATGTCAATATACCACTGCATTACCAGAACACAGAGAATGATATATCACACAAATGCTTCTAGGGCACTTCCACTCAGGGAACAGAATTCTTGTCAGATCATGCCTCACTTCAAGGCAAGACGCACCCATGCTCTAGGGGCTTGTGCACAATGAACCAAGATATTCAACAACATCAGAGGTAGTGGACGCGGTAAGAAGTTAGAACAAGTAGACAGGGATAGAGCAAGTAGTGAAATGAACCAAGTACTCGCCAAGTTCCACCATCAATCAACATTCGCATAAGAGTTCACACGTGAGAAGCCAAACCGAGATACATCCGACACATGAAGATGCCATCTCCGAATTTATTATCAATATACAAGAAATGTTCGTCTCCAGCGGCTCTGCCTCTCACACACACACAACAGAAACCCAACTTGATGGCGGCTATGGCTTCTCTCTCTCTCTCTCTCTCTCTCTCTCTCTCTCTCTCTCTCTCTCTCTCTCTCTCTCTCTCTCTCTCTCT